AACGGCAACCTCGACTCGTGGCTCTCCACACCGGCACAACATGACGTTGCTGTTCGAGTGGGAACGCAGCCATGTGGGCTACGGTCAAGAGACGACAAATTCATGGGTTCCATGGGTACGAAATAGGGGACCTTCTCCTGAGGAACCTGGACGGCGATTCCTCCTCCCATTAACTTGATGCGAAGCGATGTCCGGAGCCCCGCCCCCGTCTCCCGATCCTTAAGCCGATTATCCAGCTTCCAGCAGCAGATTACCTCGTCAGCGTCGTCATCGCCGTCGTCGGCATAACAGATTACAGTCACTGGACAACCTATGGGCCGTGCTACGAGGATGGCTCCAAAGTAGGATTCGGCTGAGGAAGACAGCTTTCATGCAGCTGCCTCAAGAACGTCATCCAAGTGACCGGATACAGGAACATCGATAATCATGGATCTCCAGAAGAATAGGTATCAGCAAGTACTTGGGTCACAGACGACCAGAAGTCAATGAGTCGTTGTTGCTGTTAAGCACCCTGGCGGCGTCCGATCTTGACATCCGATGAAACAAAGGCCGTTCATCTATCAGCTGCGTTTTGAAACGGAGCACATGGCTCGTCTGAGCGTGCACTTATTTCCAAACCCTTGGGGTCAGTGACGAACATGGGCTGGCACCAGTCCCTGCATCTACGGATTGGCAAACAAATGTGTGCATCTGTGCATACCAAGCTCAGACGATGCGTTTGAATTTATGAGAACTTCGGGGCCGAAACAATCTCGACATCGCCGAGTGTTGCACGTTGTAAGTTGCGACCAGGAGCCCCGCCTATTGTTGTGCTAAGCCCTGAGCTGAGGATGCTAACACGCGACAGACTCCGACAGTATCGCTGTCTCTCTGACAGCCGCTCTGCCCCATCAATGCGCGACTCTCCAAATTCTCCTCATCTGCCCCAACAATAAAGTTCTGGGCACATTCAGTGAAGCGCACTGAGCAGGGCAATGCCCAAACTCAACTGACGATGCCAAAGGTAGTCTGTAGCAGCCCAGCAAACACTACGCCTTTGATGACTTCGTCCACCTGCAAGATTCTCAAGTTTGCTTCGACCTCGATCGATCAGCGCAAGATATTAGCGCCGGTTATCACCGGTCTATTAGTCTAGTTGGTTAGGACGTCGGATTCTGATTATCGGAATTTCCGTAGGCCCAGGTTCGAATCCTGGATGGACCTCTCTTCTTTTGCAAATCACGCAAAGATGACATTAAATCGTCTTTCTTTTGGTTCAGAGTTGAGGTTGAGGGTGGGGCATTGCTCTTGAAGTTACGATGTTAGCTTTTGTCCTACAAACCCCGAATCGACCCTGGATAGATGGTGGTTGGTCACGGTGTCCCGTAACTCACTGATATCAGGGCCAAGTCCAGGTCCGCTTGTCAGCCAGAAGGCCGCCAACTTGGCACCGGATTGAATCCGGTCGAATTCTTTGAACAAAGCCTTTGGAAAGAATTACTGCCTTAGATACTAGCGCCAGTGACTTACCATGGAGACTACAAGCGACGAAGGTTCTCCTCAGCAAGCTTAAGGTTGAGAACATTTGGGTCTTGATCTTGAAGCACTCTAAACCGATGCACGCTTTCTGATTGTGATAACATATGGTCAAGCCATGGCATGCTCCACAGCAGCTTTCATTCATAGCAGAGGCAGCAATACACATGAGCCTTTCAATATCGACTAACGGTAGTACGACCTACCGCAAGGAACACAGAATCGGTGACCTTGCTTCGCGGTCCGGCCACAGCCGCGCATACAAAGCCCCGAACGCTGCAGGCTGCCGGCGTGTATTATCCTGCCGCAAGGGCTGCAGAAGCGATGGCCGGGTAAGGCAGGCGCGATATTGCATCGTAGACAGGCGGACATGATGGTCTTTAATTCGTGTGTAGCGCGCTATATTTGTAGACCTATGAGCCGTGTTAGCTTGAGTCATTGAAGAACAGAAGGTACTAGATACAGTCTCGCTAACCCTTGATTTATGAGTGTGCTTGATAGTAGCGTCGTGGATTGATTATAGCTTTGTAATTATCATGAGGTAGAGATTGATCATCAATGACAATGATGTCAAAGTTGATCAACAGAATGGAGGGAGCGTGAGATGAGAGTAGGTTTCTAATTCCAGACAAAGCGAAGGCCCGAGGGAATATGCCAGACTTATATCTACTATCTCATATGTTTGTGCTAGCCGCATTTGCCGATGATGCCTCGATAGGGAAGTTGCAACATTGACGAGCATCTATCTGCCACCTGACCGGCTTTATCCGGAAGATGGCTGCATCGAGTTAATACGTCCAATATCACAGCCTGACTTTCATACCCACCAATAGCTATACCCTTGTCGTCGTGGCCCTCGAGGGCAGTAGGAGAGCGGGATCTACGCACGGGAAGCTGCCAAAAACGGATCGATCGGGAAGTAGGCTGGGATCAGATCCCACCTTTCAGTATTCTCAGATAAGCTGCTGACGAATTGTGTTGATAGGGTGTGTCTCGTGATCCCCATGCAGACATGATGGAGCGTTGAAGAAGAGGGGTGTGGGAGAACCCCTGCTGACAAAAAGACCTTGCATATGGCAAGCTGCAAGACTTGGAATCCCCTCAAAAGAATGTTGCTTAGGTTTCTTTGGCGACAACAACTTTCATAACCATGATAATGTGATAGTAGAGAAGCTCAGATCCATTGGATTCTATATTTGGCACCTGTAAACAACTTCATTGCACGGCAAGGGGCTCGACGATCGGATCAAAGCATGCCTGATAATCATCTCAGACGGCTCAAATTCACAAGCGCCTTTCAACATGAGTCGATCAATCGTTGTCGCTTGATTCAATAAGTGATTTCTACGTATGCACTTATGACTTAAGTCTTCAGCGCTCCTCAAATGGGCGCCTGATCATATATGAATTCCAAGTCTAAAACGCTCGAATTGGCATCGCAAATCATGCTGACTTTACTTGGATCAACCAAGTCTGCGTTGAAGCGTAGCTGAATTTTCCGCAAGCTCGCACATCCTTCTCCAGTCTGATGCAGGTCCATAAGTTCACGGATATGAGTCAGTATCTCCATGGTGCACCCGTACAGCTCGAGGCTCTCCAGATTAGGAGGTATATGATTGACGAGTCGCGGAACTCTCTTCAATTCCGACACCTTCTCCTCTTGATTGAAGTTGTTGTAAAGGCTTGGGATTGTCCAAAGATCGGTGAAACCAGTAAAAGCCTCCATGCCGATGTGCAATGTCTTCAACGAGACCATCTCCCGCAGGAACGTACCGATAAAGAAGCCCTCTAGTTCGACGTACCATTCTTGATTGCGCCACTGGCCTTGGTAGTCGATATGCAAACATTCGAGAGTATCTCGATGCGGTGACAGAGCCTGGGCTAGATCTTGCGGCTTGATCTGCATATCTAGGAAACTGCTGTCACCTGGGGTCCAGCGAAACGACTTCAACTCTCTACAAGCACGGATGACTGTGCTTAGGCCCTCCTGGGTAATGTTTGCATCTAGCAGAGTAAGATTTTGAACGTTTGAAGACCTGGGCGGATTGGCGTTCTCGTCGAAGAGGTGCCCGTTTGGGCCACTGCTCGATAAACTCGCGCACATGAATGTCCGTAACTGAGGTAGTTGCAGGAATTCCTTCCCAATATTGAAGAAGTGGAAAAGACTCTTGGGCATCTCTGGCTCGCCGCAGTACTCTCGCAAGTGATGGAGTAACGGGGCCTTCATGCTCCCCCCGTGCAATGCCGCAGCCTTGATCAAGCGAGGAAGCAGACGAGGCGCGAGAGGCGTTCCCAATTCGAGGACCTGGATCTTCGGGCATGCGAGAAACATGAGGCCAATCTGCTGCTCGACTAAGCCGTCGGCGAGGCCTCGAAGCCACTCGTGTCGCACAGCCTCCCAGTCTTCAACGTGATCGGAGAGACCCGATGCATCAATCATGTTGGTGTACACGCCAATCTCATCGCTTTCAGGCCCCAAGGGTTTCTTGCTCGATGGGGCAGTGCGGTAGATGAGGCTGGTGGAGACATGTTTGATGGTAATGCGGCGGACATGTTGTGCAAGCTCAGGCTTGGTGATGGTGATGTAACGCAGGAAGTCGAGGTTGCGGCTGCGCTTCTGCGCGTATTGGCTTGTGTTCTTTGGGCCGGCGGCGCTCTGATAGGTTCGGACTGAGAGAGGTAGAGCGATTTTGTAGAGATGTTTGCATGTTGGAAGCACTGCGTAGATCGATGCGGGGTGTGAGGAGGCGAGAGCCTCGAGGATGTGGGTTTGAATTTCCACCGGTAAATCGACGAACCCAAGGGAGGGCGTCGACGAGTTTGTGCCAGGCATGATTCTTTATTTATGGGTTTCTTCCCGCCATCAAATGAGTAAACCTCGGATTGCCGGTGGTTGTTCTGATGATGTTGCGTGCGCCAGATTGAGTTGTGGCTGGAGGAGCTAATACTGTGGCAGGCACCAACCAGAATAGACCTTCCCGCTCGGTTCCTGTTGAGAGGTTTGGCGCTCGATTGTCATTGGCCCTCGGGGAGATCAACCGTTCGCTTTGCATCATTTCTACTTTTCGAGGACGACTATATTATCTCAAAGAGGTTATTGGAAATAAATCCAGCGCTTCGCCATCAGGCGTTCCGCATTTTTCTAAGCCAGTCAAGACAGATTTTAGTGGGCACAGAATTGTCAAGCTATCCAGGAGGCGGCCAAGATCTCTTTGATCTCGCAGGCAAGTTATACACAGAGAAAGATTCACATATGAGGTGATTTAGATTGGTTTCTAGCCTAGGGTTGTTCTTCAACCACGCCGCATCTCCGGCAGATCAATGTTTGATCTGATCCCAGTGCTTTCTCTCGGGCTGCGGCTTAATTATCCTACTTGACTGAGTGTTGACAAGCTGAGCTTGAAGCTGTGCCAGTCATCGACCGTGCTAGGAATAAGTGAGGCTAATAATCAGGCGTACGTGGTACTGGTATTCCCCCAAGAAACCTAAGCTGGAACCCAGTGGCAACGCGGGCTGATGTTGGGACCACCTGAAGAGCTAGCAAAGAGCGGATGGTAGTATCTTTGGGTATTCGTGCCCCCGGGGCCGGGGGCTTCGCACGACTGTGTCTCTTCATGCCAAGTGCCTGGACGCCCAAAATACTCGGACTCTCCACAGTTTTTCTTCTCAAATGCCTTCATGCTAGCCTGGTAGGCAGCTGGTACGGCTGGATCACAACTGACTTTGTATCGAGGGTTGCCAGCCATCGCCACACTGGCGAGCGCAAAAAGAGTGGCTACGGCTGCGAGATGCACTGAGTGTGTTAGATGGGATAGGAATTGACGTGAGATTGACTACTTACTGATGCTGGTGGTGATTCTGTGAAGACTTAGATCTTGAAGGCAAAGTGAGGTAGGACTGGTGATGCGGCTTATTTCTATGGAGGAATTTCAGGATATGTCTAGAAATCAGCTACCACACGGCGCAACGTGGCTTGATATAACCCCGAAATCGTCGCTCTCGGGTTCATGTAGTCGTATCGTTAATGCAAAGTCCGTCGGTGTTTAATCTCGTTCGAAAAAACGTTAAACTGGGCATGTGGAACTTACGTGCTCCAGGCCATGAGATAACAATGGGATCGCCGTAGAAGCCTAAGGTAGCTAGCTGGCAGGTTTGATACGAGTGGATATTAAAGTGCATCATAAAAGAACTTTCAATTGATTTCTCTCAACATTCAAACTCTATGTGCTCGTATCAAGACTGGCAGCATTGGTTGCGATGCGGTCTGACTCGGAAATATGCGAGCGGGGAAGAGTGACGACGAGTTAGAAGAGAACTGGGTACCTTAGCTTTGACCAGCTCCTTGCACTATAATCCTTGATCCCCATTTACCATTATATGGAATAAGTAATTGAATTTAAGTGCTAAACGGGTTGCTTTTGTCGCTTGATTAACAAATCAATCGAAATGCTGCTAGCCTGTGATCATTCTTCCACTTCGAATGCCCAATAAACATAGGAAAGAACGATAGATTTTGGGAAGTTTTATTCACAACTTGGATTGATTTATATCATTGAGGCTTACCTATGCTATTCCAAATTAATTAAATACATCCTCTCATCTCGTAGTTACAAGGTCAAGGCGCAGTGACGAAGGCGAGGGGGAATCAACAGACGAGCATAGAGGCATCAGCTAGGTCACCTACCTTAGAGAACTTTGGTCAGGAGAGATAGACTATTTTGCGACCATTCTCATCGCAAAAGGGAAGCATCGTGGAGATGAGCCATTTGAAGAAGGAATGCCCTTGAAGCAAGATCCAAAAGGCAAGTGCAATTGTCGAGAACGGTATAAAAGACACGTGAAGACACTAAAGTGACCGATTTTGGGAACAAAATATGTCGAAGTTTCCCAGATTTGGCAACCTAAGCCCCTAACTGTTGATTTATGTAGTCATATGCACAACGTTCAAAGTACGTGTGACGGCCCTGAGCAATGCGTCATTACGCGCTCGTCCTGGCAGTATGCAGCTTAAGATGAGAAACAGGACACGATCAAGTCGAATGAATGAACGCGCAAATGCATCAAACGTGTTGCCGTCATAGCCATCATGACAGATTATAACAAAAGGCTTGTACGACCTAAAAGGGTAAAAGAATCATGCATATATATTATAGGAGAGTTGACCAGGGCTCACTCCCTGTGTATTGACGCTGGTAATGGATGCTTCTCTTACCGACTAGGAGCATTGTAAACCCTTGGTGATATTCCACAGGAAACGAAAGCTGGATGAGTTCATGCTCATATAGTCGACAACTCAGCCCCAAAGCGACGGATTACGCATATTCGTATCAGTAATCATCCTGTACCAGCAATCCTCACCGGTGGGCTAAGTTTCGCCGCTCCGTCCTCTAAATAAACTTTGAAAATCAGGTGATGAGAAATCAGTCCATCAGTGAAGCCAAAACCAGTCTCGAACATTGCCCTTCTTCTAGCCTAGCAGTATTCATGACTTCCGGCGCTATGAAATCTTTCCTGTCTCGATAGTACTTTCTGGCAAAAATCGAGAATCCAGCCTAGATTAGGACATGCCGTGGTATTTCTGGGCAATTGACCAAAGATAGCTTTCACAATTGAAATTATATAGACTCACACAAGATCACGCTGACATGCCTGTCATCATGCGTTGGATACAAATACAGCCTGAGCTCACTGCTCCCGCTAGTAAATTCGCGAGAGTCATGGAATCTCATCAGAATATCTGATTACACACGAGTTCAGCCTGTAGCTTATCAAGTTGATACAGTAAATTTCCATGTCGCGGATGAGCCAGAATAACCTACTCAGATAGGCTACGACGCAAATCTGTGTAAATTAACTTGCGGTTTCTGAGTTGCTTGTTCCTGCAGTCTCGCTAGCTCCAAGGTCGGAGTTTCTCAAATCAATCCAGAGAAATTGATAGTTGCCGGCAATTCCGATGAACCAATCGTTTCGAATAGCAAATCCTCACAGTACCTAGCTCACTTAAAAGAGAGACGACCCACGGGTTTCGACAATTCGCCTGCTATGTTCTACAATCTTGCTGGTAGAAATTTCCCACCCACCTTCCTCTAACTCGATCATAGACAAGCCATCCGTACGTTGGATGACTGTAACAAGCCTTAGCTGTGCTGACAACATCTCCAGAATATGAGACTCACAACTCTGGTGACCGTTCTTTCGATTTCGATTACCGCTCAAGCTTGCTCTGGCTATAAGTACTGCCACTGTTACGACTCAGATGGTACGCCAAATGACAGTGCCACCTCGACAGTCTGCACCAAGGCTGGGTATCAAACGAAATACAACTCGGACCTTGGTCACTACGAGTGCTACTACTATAGCGAGACACTGTTCAAAAACATTGGACAGAGCAATTGCGGGATGAGAGAACGTTGTATCAAAGCTGGAGCCACTGGAAAGGACTCAAGCTGTAGGGGAAAGGTGTAGATGGTTAATCATTCAAGCTCATCATGATGAGGGTTCTTCATGGTCATTTTATTACTATTTGACGGCTCAAAACTCTATATCCGAATTCAAAACCAAATCTTGAGGGTAGTCGAAGTCATCCAAAATCACACCATGTTCTGCTTGGACTTTCCGGCGCCCCAGAGCGTACAAGTTTTGGCTTTCGAAGAGGCCCTCTCTTTCTGCTCCTAGTACCTTTATCAGACGGAGAGCTGAAAGCCGCACTTCTAAGCACTTGCGCTCTGTGACAACGAAGAACAGCACAGGTGAGAATGCAAGTTCGAAAACAAATCGTGGTAGCCGTATGGTCCGCATATTACTAAATTCAGAAGCCAACGCAATCATCTCGCGGAAGCCGTGTATGTGTCTTTCATCGTTGCCCCCATGATCTACTGGGAACAGCATATCGAAGCAAACTTGACATGTGTGGAAGCGCATACGCATCAGTGCTTGCGGACCTTCGCTAGCACAATTTGGCTGAGATGTTGAGTCAATGTCGAGGCCATCCATCAATTCTCTGCATTTCTGCAACAGAGAACCGATGCAGTTCCGCTCCTTCACCTGATCGAAATCAGCTCCTTTCCGTTTCCAATGTTGTAAAATCATTAATCGTCGGCAAATTTCGTCGATCATCGAGTGTGCATCCTCCACGTTATCAAATCTCGTTGGTACCGCATATCTTAGGACATGTGTGAGTGCTGAGTCCGCAGGAGGCCTTCCAAGGAGCAGCGGAAGGACGCTCAATCGCCGAAAGACTGGTACGATGTGATCTCGTATCCAGGGTTTGTCGCTGCCATAAATCTCTAAGATTTGGTTGCCGTGTTTGCAATGCCGAATCGCGGTCTCGTTATTTGACTGCAGCAGCTCGATACATGTAAACAAGACGCATACAATCAGGACTAAAGACTGATCTTGCACAGCCTTCACACCTTTGATTGCCGCATTATAGTACTGTAATGCAAGCAAAGGTTTAGTGGATGGGATTGCCCGCATCTCGCGAGCCTCGTATAGGTGACTGATTGCCAAGAGCGAATATTTCACTATTGGCTCAGATTGGCTGAGCTGCATGACAAAGCAAGTCCAAAAAGCAGGCTTCCTAGGGCCAGATAGACGAGGCGCAGCGTATTCATAGAAATATTGTAGTGACCTTCGCTCACTTGCGGAGTCTGATCCATGATGTCGCAGGGCTGCATGAATCTTGAACTCGACCGATGCCTGTGCCAAGTAGCCGTCGCACTTTCGGCCTGTGTCATTGCAGCGTCGGCAAGAAGGCTTGGTTTCGTCGCACTTGATCTTGCGAATCCTACGAAAATTAGTACAAAAGGATTCGCCTGAGGCCTCTGCGAGGCATTTCGATCTATGCATACTTGCAAGTCAAGCACCCGGTCTTGGTCTTCTTGGAACCTTTTCGTGCCATGGGATGATCACATCAGGCGACCAAAGACAGGTTTTCTCATCAATTCCGGCAATATTAAGGCATGAGAGCTCTGGTTCTGTTGACACAGGTGCGATGACTTGCGCTCTAGTCTATTCCACCTGACGTGATGATGTAACTGGAAGTTCGGAACGCCCCTTTGTTTGCTATGGGTCCTGGTGCGGTAAGTCATGTAAGATTTGAACAAAAGCCGAACGAGCCAATCAAGCTTTGCACTAAGTACCTTACGATTTCTAATCATCGTCGTCACTACACTAGCTATCTCATGAACCCTCTGATTGGTTCATTCGGTTTTGAAAATCCTAGAGTTGAGTCTAATGGCACTGAATACGTGTAATTCCGTAGTCGTCTTAGGAAATCATTTGTGAGCGGTGCTTAGCTTACAGTGTTGCAAAGGTGATAACGCGATGTTCCGCTTCCTTTGGTTTGTCAATTAAGTACGTCGAACAAGTATTTAAGTGAGTGGTCCTCCGCTCAGCACATGCATGCTAATAGCTCAACACACTGAAACTGAACCATCATCAGCCCTTGGTCAATATTTAGACTAACTTTATTCTACTCAATCTATATTCCATTCACAGCCATGTCACCTGTGCGACAAGATCGTAAGATTGCCTTAGTTGGCGCCAGTGGTAACCTTGGGCAACACACCCTGACGGCACTGCTCTCTCATGGTATCCACGACATCACCGTCATTGTCCGGAACGAATCCACCTCTGAATTCCCTGACAGCGTCACCGTCAAAAGAGTTGCCTTCGATGATGAAGCTGCTCTCACGTCTGTCTTGGATGGTCAAGAGGTCTTGGTCTTGCAACTTGGCATCCCAGCTGTGGGCCTCAGCGACGTCTTCATCCGCGCTGCCGCAAAGGCCAACGTCCCGTATATCCTTCCGACTGAGTTTGGTAGTGACCCAGAAGGAAAGCTCATTGAAGAGCTGCCTGAAATCGCTGATAAACGCAAATATCGAGAACTCATCGAAAAGCTAGGAGTTGGTTCTTGGATCGGTGTCATTACCAACCCTTGGTACGATTTCTGCCTGCCTATGGGCGATGTCTTTGGTATCGACGCCAAAACACTCAAGGTTACGCTTTGGAACGGGGGGCGTACAAAGATGAATTACACTACGCTGGCCCGAGCTGGAGCGGTTACTGCCGAGGTTGTGGCTATGCCAGATGTGGAACTTGCACGCTATCGCAACAAATGCTTCTACACTACTTCCTTCCACGTCACTCAAAGAGAGGTACTGAGCAGCATTATGCTGGCGACTGGAACATCTGAGACCGATTGGGACATTCGCGAGGAGGCCGTGGATGATGTTCTTGAGAGAGCCAATGCGATGAGTGGGGATGACGCACATGCTGTGGTGCTTGCGAAGTTCTTCCCGCTACATTACAAAGAGGGCGAGGGGGGTGATTTCAACAGCAAGACTGAGGATCTCGGCCGTTTTGATCTGAGCAAGGAGGACTTCCATGTCGTCACGAAGGGTGTAGTTCAGCGAATTCTGTCGCCCTAGAGTGCTGTCATGCGCTTGGAGAGAACCAGAAATAATCTTTGTCCTTCAGAACAAGCATGTCTCGCATTCTCTCTGAAACCTGTAGAAGTCAGCACTTGCACCATGACTGTCCTTCGGATATAGATATCCTTGTGCCTACATCAAGCATGGACTCTTGGCCACCACAACAGGTCACACTGAATGTAAGGTACTTCTCATAAGTAATCGAAGACGACTCACTGAGCGTAGATAATGCATAAAAAGACACCAACTGATCATAGATGGTGATGATACGCTGATGTTGCCCCTTTCGACTGTTGATGTGCTCAAGAAGCCGACTCCAACCGCTGTGCCTCTCACTTGGCGCACACCGGACCAATGCCGGACCAACTTTTCGGGCTAACCCCGCGAAGTGAACGCATCTCAGAGCGGTCGACTGAATGGGATAGACATGCATCGGCATCAACTCGGTAAACGGACGGGTCGCAGTCCGGGTGAAACAGAGTGATGTGACGTTTAAATCAGATCACGAGTGCACAAATCCAGAAGGATGGTTTCCATCTCATCTTTCTCCTCTCTCCTTGCTTTCCGACGATTTGAGCATCGCTTCTCGAAAAGCACCTTGACTTACAGCAGTAGAATATACCAAAAATGACCGCGTGGGAAGTGAATGGCAAAGTCGCGCTCGTGACCGGTGCTGGATCAGGTTGGTATCCTTACCCCTTTTTCGAAGTTACCAATACTAACAGAGTTCAGGTATCAACCATGCGCTAACCAGAGCCCTTCTCGAGTTGGGTTGTTCAGTCGTCATGGCGGATTTGAGACTACGTCCCGAGGCCGAATACACACTCAAGAAATACCCCCATCCCCCAATCAAGCCTGGCACTGCGTCGGCTATCTTCCATCAGACAGACCTCACCGACTGGTCTCAGATCAACAAACTGTGGGACGCCGCACTCGAGACATATACGCGAGTCAATTTGCTCATCAACGGAGCCGGAATCTATGATCCCCCATCCAGCGACTTTTGGAACCCGCCTGGGATCTCGCCTCTGTCCCGAGACCAAGCCGATGCTAAAGTCGGCATGTATCAGGCTTACGCCATCAATACCATTGCCCCTGTCAGACTTGCCCAGATCGCCGTCGAATACTGGCTCCGTCCCGAAAATCGACATCTTGCAGGCAACATCCTCTGGGTCGCCAGTATGGCGGGCTACGTCCATGGTCTCCTTACACCGTTCTACTACTCGAGCAAGGCTGCCGTTGTTAGCATGTGCAAGTCTCTTGGCTCTTTGAACAAGATTGCCGGCATTAGAAACGCCGCAATCTGCCCGGGAGTAGTCGATGTAAGTTTCAACCTGCCTCAAATCCGTAATGTTCACATACAATGAGTGCTGATAGCCGGCTGCAGACCCCAATCTTCCACGCCTCCTACAGCCGAGAGCGTGTACATGCCGACGACTTGATGCTAAGCGTTGACGAAGTGGTCAACGTTGCCATATCAGCTATCTGTGACTCGAAATACGGCGACGGGAACGTTGTAGAGGTGTTCTGCGGAGGAACGAAGGAGGACCATAAGGTGTGTGTTCGGGATGTGCCCTTGGAAAACTTGTACGACGTTCAAGGTATGAAGGGCCTGGCAGCTGGAACGCACATGCTTGACAAGCAGGACGAATTCGAACAGAAGTTGAAGACGGGAGGCCTGGAATTTTCTGCAAAGATCTAGGAGCGGACACGGGTTGGACAGATAGAACATCAGTCTGCATAGGAACAATTCACTGCCGTAGGTACCGTTTATCGAATTTTGAATGTCAAGGCAGGCAGGGCAGTGACACCAGGATGATACTCCTCTTAATCTCCTAGGCCAAGGTTGAACGACTTTGCGGGCTATTCCATAGCGTTTCAGTGGGAATGAAAATGTGACCATAATGCAGTACTTCGGGCGCGGTTCCGTATCCTGCGACTTTCCCTACAGTATAGAATACCATCAGGGGCTGCCTACTACTTTAGCTAGCAGTTGAGCCAACTCCAACCAATGCCATAAATGCCCTTTCCCCTTCTTCCAGCCGCACTTCAAGCACAAGCCCAAGATCTATCAATTCTGTGTAGAGTCTTGGCTTGGATCCCTGACCTGAGCTCAATTTCCCTCAGCGCTCCTCTCAAGCTCTTCCAGAAACCTCCTCACTTCGGAATCCAGTTCCAAGCCCGACTGAAGCATGTATTCATCGGTGCCTTCTATTTGCAGACCTTGGAGAGATCGGGCACGGCTGAGCGCTACGTATGCTTGGCCCTTTTCAAAGACAGAGCCCAGGTCAACGATTAAGCGGTCAAGAGACAGACTCTGGCTCTTATGGATGGTCATGGCCCAGCCTGGAGCGAGAGGTAGCTGTGTCCGAGATACGAGCATGTGCGGGTGTTTTGTGCCGAGTTCGTTTACTGCGCAATCCGGGCCAATGACGCGGCGTTGGCCGTTGTTGAATTCGACCTCGGGATCTTCATTGAGTCAGCCGATATGAGGAAAAAATGAAGAGGTTGGCCCAGCAGCTGAGCGGGATTTCTACTCACATAATTCAGGCGCACCTTTGTCCGTGAAGAACATTTCCGTCAGACGAAAACGTTCCATAGCAGCATCGAAAGCTGACAAATCCTTCTTGTAGTTTTTTCGCTTAGGTTCTGTGGGACGTTCAAACTTGGAGCGTGAGACAAAGCCGCAGATTTTGCCCTGACTGCCGTTACACAGGCCGCTGTCTAGATCAATCTGGTGCATACAAGTTACGAGGTTAGTGAATCTAGCGACAAACGTTTATATGCAACAATTGCTTGCGGAGGATCTTACGTTTGCAAGCAATATGACGGGCATATTGAGCTTCAACTCTAGAAATTGGGCATAGCGATGGTCGCCCAAGCGGGACAACGGTTGCCGCGAAGGCGGTGCTTCAGGGTCCGAATCTCGCATCTGGATAATGTACTTTGTTAATAACCCTTACTTTGAAAATTTTAGAATCGCGCCTAGTTACAGCTCGATAGATGAGGTAGCCAGTACTTGCCGTGTAGTTTTTTATGAGAAGATCAAGTTCTTCATCTGTGCTATTATTTGTATTGGCATAATCGAGACACCAATATTTTCGGGACGGGCTATGGAGCTGTTTGAGCTGAGATTCGTTATGCTCTTGAGCTTGCAGTCTATGACTGAACAAACGAGTTGCGTTCTCAACCTGGGCAGGATGATTTAGCAGTAGGTCGATATCTCTCTGGCTGAGAACTTCGCCTAACCGGCATGTCTGAAGAATCCTGACAAAGTCCTCGTCTGTTTGTCGATGAACCTTCTTCAGGTGGACGTACTTGAAGTTGCACCTCACCCACTCAGAAGACTTGAAGGCCCATTTGTCGTGCTCCATGAAATACCCATGAGTATTCTGCTGCGGCCCTTCATCGCTGACTCCTTGAGGGCAGAAATATGAACGGACTGAGTTCCCGACCTTTTCCTGTTGCATTTCCGAGCCACATTCAAGACAATGCTGGAATGGCTCTACCGGAGGCAGCTGACAGAAATCCCCAACAGCGATGACCTGGACGCCGCCAAAAGCGCCCCGAACCTCCATCTGACTCTGGGGGTTATTCGGGGCTGCTTTGCGTCGAATTCGTCCCATGACCTGACCAAGTCGTTGAAAGAACTGATTCTCGACCATGCTGATTTCGTCGATGATAAGAACATGGGTACCAACTATTCGATTCTTGTTTTTCTTGTGTCGCGACTTTCCCACTAGTATACCGAATGGCTCTGAGAAATCACCCGGTGTCCAGCCCGCGTAATTCCACATCGTTCTACCACCGATGTTGACAGAAGCGATGCCGGTAGGTGCGATTAGGTGGACTTTTCGTTCCTTCGCTTTGAACATCTTGTGCAAGGCCTTTACGAGGACAGACTTGCCGCATCCGCCCGATCTACGTGCGTATGAAGTTAGTAGATGATTATTGAGTTATTGACGCAACGCGTTGGACCATCATGAGGCCACCTTGCTTACGCACCCAGTGATGAAAAGGTTATGTCCAGCCATGGCAAGATCCATGGCGGCTTGTTGTTCCTGGCAAAGAGGAGGCTCGCAAGGGTCTGGTGCTGGGTCGAAGCTCTGGGCTTGGGGCTCGCCCGCATCAGCAGCTATGGCTGCAACATCGCTAGGCGCAGCACTGCCAGGTATACGGCTGTTAGGCGTGGGAGGAGTATACCGAGGTGTGCTCTCATATGTGTTTGGCGATGCAGTACAAGGTTGCGGTTGAGGTACAGACCTTGGCTCTTCTGCCTCGAGCTTTTCTGTCAACTTGTTACGCAGGAGATCCACCTATGACAAAACCCATCAGACATACTCTTTGTATCGCGAAGCAGAATGGTGTCTCACAGCGTCTTTGTACGTTGTTGTTTTCTTGTCTGCGTTCAAGCAGTCAGCCCGGGGAACTGGTTTTTTTGCAATTTTCGAGGTGCAACTTACGCCCTGCCCCTGGATATCTTTCAACCAACGGCTGACATTTGCCCCAACTTTCGAATATACCGGTTTCCGTTCCATTCCATACCACGTAGTACTTTTTGGCGCCGGAAAGTTCCGTTGGTATGCCCGACGTGTACTTTCTCATCATGTCGTTCACTTTGTCTGCTACTGACGTTTGTGGGGGGCTATTGGAAGGCTCAGCATCTTTCTCTGCTTGAGAGCCGGAGCTAGCTTCTTGACGGTCATCGTCAGTGTCGCCGTGTCTCGTCAAATCATTGTGGTCGGGTTCGGGTTGGAATCGCTGTCTTTTGGGTGATGGTGGGGAGAGGGAACCGCCCGGCGCGCGTTTGGGCCCGAAATGGACTAGTCATTGGAATCTTAGCCATGTTTTTTGTATGATGGGACTTGTAGTCGAGTTTTACGAACGTGTGGTTTGTTTGAAGGCCATTTCAGTTAGCCCTTTTTTGCGCGACGGTCAGAAAGATCCCGCGTCATGAGGCGGGGAGGCTCTGGCGTGATCGCGTAAATTTCATATTAAATGAGACAGACGCGTCGAGGACTGATTAGATTGGGCGGTATCAAGCTCCCAAAGGCTCGGGCCACCCGTTCATAAGGTAGTATGGGGCTCGGCTGAACCAGAGCAAATGCTCCGTGTTCGCAAAGTAAGGCACACTAGAAACTGTTGACCCTAGAGAAAGGAGAGGATTAGTTACGGTAGAATTATTCTTTGTTGACCAACAATGTCACACATCAACGCGCAATCCAACGCCATTGGAACGGGAAGTTTATGACGTCTATGGTCCACGGCACTTGGTGCTAAGGGATTAGAAGAACTAGCCCCAGAACGGCTAGGGAGTTGAGGAACCAACATGCACTGCGCGGCGCACACACCCATGGAGTCTGTACCAGCTTGCTGCTAACACTGCACCCTCATTCCGTACAACTATCCGTACAACCAACATTGAATCCAACGCGTATTTCCGATCATCATTCCCGCCATGCACTGCTGGTCCCCCGCACGAAGCGAGTCAGCTACTAGCAGGGACCTCATTCCGGGGCCCCGGACAACTCCCGAGCCTCACCCCCAGCTCCAACGTCGTCGCCGGACACTTCTCCGCCCAAACCTGGTAACAGCCGACGACTAACATCCTCGACGCCGCAAACATCGTCACCTTCTAGCGAATTGGATTTCGTAACATGGCGGAGCCGCACCACTTTTTCGCGGGGATTCCACTGCGAAAAGCAAGCTATGGCTTGAGTGGGGGAGCAGCTTTGTCTCGAATCGGTCCAGAAGCGGCGTCATGGGGTCGTGGACCAACGCCAACATGACCCCCACCTTAGGTCTGGTTGGCGTAGATTCGTGGGGTCAATGTGCCGTCAGTGGAGATGTTTGACATCGTGAGCCTTTCGCGGGGTGAAAGGACCAAGCTTGGTCTGTACGATGGGTCTATCTCAACTTTCCAAGGTGCCTCTGGGGATGGGGAAAACGTTGGATCTGCCCAAGCTATCAATGCCAATCTCTCGTGCATCTTGCTCCCTTATTCTCGCTCAAAATCACTGATAATCATCAGTCATCATCACCATGGTTGTTAGCGGTACGGAGGTTGCGAAGAACAACACCAAAGACTCGTGCTGGGTCGTTGTGCATGGCCAAGTATGGGACGTCACAGGTACGCACATGCTCCGGTACCCAGCTTCACATTGCCCGCTCACACTAGACTAGACTTCCTTGATGAGCACCCAGGCGGCGCAAAACTCATCATCAAATGCGCTGGCCGAGACGCGACAGAAGACTACGACTCCATCCACAACCCAGACCTCATCACAGAGACCCTATCACCAGATCGCTGCCTGGGTCCCGTAGACCCAGCAACACTACCAGAGCCGCAAGATGCCTCGTCGAACGCTCCCGAAAAGCAAAAGCCTGCTTTCCCACATTTAGGAGCCATCATCAACGCCGACGATTTTGAAAAGGTCGCGGAGAAGTACCTCTCGCCCATGGGCTGGGCGTACTACTACTCAGGCGCAGAAGACGAACAGAGCCTTGACGACTCGCGCCGCATATTCCGCAAGCTCGCCCTCCGCCCGCGCATTCTCCGAAACGTCGACTCCATCTCCACGTCCACCAATATCCTCAGCCTCCATACTTCACTACCTTTCTACATTTCGCCTACTGGACAGGCCAAGTACGCCCACTCCGAAGCCGAGACGATTCTCTCGAGGGCTGCGGGCAAGGAAGGGA